GTTGTTTTGCTGCAGCCGGACTGCAGCATGGAGGAGTCCCTAGCTTAGTTGCCTCTGAGCTAGGAGCACCTCTGCTCAGTGTTCATGGTGGCCAAGGCTGTCTCTCCACCTCCTCCTGGAGCAGAGGGTGCTCCTGCTCCAGGCCACCTCCTGCCACACCCTGGCTGGGCCAGCCCCTGCCATCCCCCCTTCCACTTTGGATTCAGCCTCCAGCTCCAGCCCAGTGAACAGCTCTCCCTCCTCCTTCAGGCCTGACAGCACTCGGCAGGCCAGGTGGCTGCTCAAGGGAGGCTCTGGAATCCCACTATGGGGACGTGCAAGTCACTTATGCCTCCGCTTGGGCCACGGTGACAAGGGAAGACATCTGGTTATGCCCGAGCCCCAGAGCACTGGGTCTCTCCAGCCTGCAGTGGTCTCACCTACCCCAGTCTTCTGGCCTGGAACCATTTGGGAATCCTTCCTCCTTTTCCTGCAGGCCTGACGCCCCCGACCACCACACCTCCCGGTCATTCAGGAAGAGGCTCAAAAGCCAGAGCCATGCCCGACTCACTTGGTTCTGATGCAGAGCTCCAGGGGAGGGACAAAGTCACTGTGGCTGTCCTCGGGGCTGGTCTGGGTGGTATCTGGGGAGGAGGGAGAAAGAGAGGCACAGTCATGTCACTCCAGGGCTCTGCATTGAACCTGTGGTCAGCGCGGACAACTTTCTTGGGACCCGTCCCTCCGAGTACCTATGCCTTCATCTCCATTCCAACTGGATCCACCTTCATGGCTGGCCCTAAATTCTCACCTGGACAACTCACAGGCCTCTCATTGTCCAGTCTCCATCCCAGTTTTGTGCCTTGCTTCAGCTACCAAAACCTTCTTAATAAAAACACATCCGATCCCATCATGCCCTGCTCTCAAACCTCCTATGGCTTCCTCTTGCCTGAAGAATAAATCCAGACTTGTCAGCAAAGTGTTTGGGGCTCTTCCCATGTGGCCTCCACTTCACCTTACATGCTTGATGCCATCAAGAGTCAAGGCCCATTCCTGGATCCCTCCAGCTGGAGGGGCCCTGCTAAGATCTGTTCTCCGATCACCCCAGTCCTGGCACCCGAGTCTACACTGTTCTCGAGCATCCTGAGGGGGGATGTGAAGCCTGGTGTCTGTGAGGGGTCTGGAAGCTCCTTTAGGGTACAGGTTGGGGGGGGTGTCGCACCGACGGTCAGCCGGATCTGCTCCTGCTGGTTGGCCAGGCCGTCATAATAGTACAGGTCAAAGTGCCGCTCGGCCTTCCAGTCAGACAGCAGCTCCATCTGCAGGCTGAAGAGGACGCTGAAGTGGCTCTCGCTGCACACTACCCAGATGGGGAACCGTGGGGTCTTCAGGAAGCAGCCGACCTGGAGGAGGGAGAGACCCGATGGAACCTGCCATCCCCAGAGAGAGCAGCTGGGGCTTCTTCAGTCCAAACCAGGGCAGGACGGACCTCTGAGAGACCCAATCCTGTTTGTGTGCTTTGCTGGGAGCCATTCCTGCTAGTAGGACCACTGGTCAGTTGCCCAGAGCTGCCCTGCCCCCCCCCCCCGCATGACGGCTCACAGACCTGAAACAGGGGCCTCATCCCTTCCTTCCTCCCCTCCATGTCCAGTAGTTCAGGGTGATGCCCATGCTGCATCTTTTAGTACCCTCGCTCCCACCTCTCCTCTCCAGGTCCACTCCCCCGCCTCACTGGACCATGGCAATGACCTCCTAACCAATTCTTACCAGGATTCTCTTGCTAACCAAGCCCCCACGCCTTCACGTTCTCTATCTACCATCTAGAGCTCTCCTCTCCTTGGAGAGCCTGCATCACCCAAACTACCCAATCAGGGGGCAGCGATCACTTCCTCCTGGCAGATCCCAGGGGCTCATCACCTGGCAACCAGATTCCTGGGCCACAGCACCACAGTGCATCCCCTCCCTCCCTCCCTCGTGATGTCACACCCACCCACCAGCCTGCCAGATGATACCCTAGCAGCCAGGGCCCAGGCGTGAGTGGTTTGATGACCGAGGGTTCTTCTGAGCAAGATGGGACTTGAACTTGAACTGTGCCTCAAAGACAGGAAGAACTGGGAGTAGGGAGGGAAGGGGCTGGGTGAGCAGTCTGTGGGCAAAGCCAAGAAGGAACCGGCCAGAGAAACCGGAGGTACAGGGGGGACACTTCCTTGCTTCAGTACAGAGCAAGAAAGAGGAGGTTGGGGTAGTTCCAGAATAAGGAGTGGAAACTTCCTTCAGGTGAGGGATTCTCTAAAAAGTTCCAAGCCAGGGAATCTCACAGCAGAGAAAACAGAGCAGGCAGCAGGTCCTGCAACGCAATGCCACCATTTTCCCTGCAAAGGGGAGAGGCCCCCAAGGGCCTGGTCAGCTTTGCCCCTCAGGCTCTCTCCCTGTCCCCTGTGAGTCCCCTGGGCAGCGCCTCTCCCCACCAGGGGCCTGGGCTCATTCCACCATGTGTGTGCCACGGTCCAGGCCGGTTCAGGCCTAATCCCCACGGGCCCCAGGGAGATGTTTGCGTGCTCAGGTATTTACAGCCGCTGCCTGTGGATTAAGGAAAGAATGGGAATTATTTTTCCAGTGAAGAGAAAGGCATAATTTCTCCAGGGCCTGTCACAGAAGAGTGGCTGGGCAGCCCCTACTCAGAGGTGACTCTGGGCTAGAGGTGGCAGGGGCAGAGGAGCCACGCTCAGAATGTCCAGTGAGACTTGTCCATTAAAGTGGCTTCCTCCAGAGGGCAGGAGGGCCATCTTTCACAATGTGCTCCTCACTTTCTTATTGTCCAAGTATCCCTTCCCCCCTCACCACCTGGGCCCTCAAGGGACTTCGGGGCTTGCTCCTTGTGGGGTGTGGGGGAATTAGATGTCTGAAAACACAAATCCCTCTACCAAATCGGTTTCTGTCCTGTTTTCCAAAGTTGGCACTGCCCCGCAAACAGGGAGCCTGGAAGACAGGATCCAGCGCTCCCTCCTGGCAGGAAAAGAGCCCCGAGCCAAGCAGGGAGCAGCAGGTCTTTGCACAATCAGCCCCCTGAATTTTCCAACTGAGGGCAGCTGGCCACATATAAAGAATTGTCAAAAGGTTAAGGGTAAGAGTTTGTCAATGAGTCTTCTCATTCAGGAGCTCCCTTCCAAGTGGGTAACATTTTCCAGAGATGAAATTTGCTTCCTTCTCATTCTTAGGGAACCAAAGGCTGGGCAAGGGCCCACACTCCCCACGGCACAGTCCAGCCTTCCCCCGGAGGGGCCTGCGCACAGCCAGAGATTGCTTTCAAATGGTAAGTCTGAATCTGCAGAAGCTGTGAGTGACCAGCAGCCAGGTGGGCTGCCGGGATAACCATTGTGTCCATAAGGGCGACAATTGTTCATTGTGATCTATACTTTCATCCCCAGCACTGTGCTATGCAGTGGAGACACAGCATGGAAGGAAACAAGAACAGTCTTGTCCTTGTGGAACTGACCAGATTAAGGGGGATAACAGAGAGGAATCAAATAATCTAACGCACAATGAGCTTGTGCTTTATACCTCGTTGAATCTAGGACTCCACCAGATTTGCCACTTTTCTTTTCTTTTTTTTTTTTTTTTTTTTGGTACCAGGGATTGATCCTAGGGGCATTTAACCACTTAGCCACATCCCCAACCCTTTTAAAAAATATTTTATGTAGAGACAGGGTCTCACTGAGTTGCTTAGGGCCTTGTTAAATTGCCGAGGCTGGCTTTGAATTCGTGATCCTCCTGCCTCAGCCTCCTGAGCTGCTGGGATTTCAGGTGTGTGCTCGGCATTGCCACAGTTTTTTGTGTCACTAAGAAAGACAGAAAGCTGACCACGCTTGGCACGCTGTCAATTGCAATAATACATTATCATTTCAGAAATGCTTAACATGGGGAACGTTTACCTCCTAAAAGCATTGAGATATGGAGAATGACAGTGGCAAGAGGTGCACGGAAGTGGGGGGCACGAGAAGACACCCTGACTCAGGCAGAGTGAGGCTGAAGGCAGGAAAGCCCTCCCTTTTAAGAAGTAACTTTTAATCCAAAAACTTGAAGAGCAGAAAAAGCAAGGCAGGTGCAGGGTAGAGTAGGTGCAAAGGCCCAGAGATGGGAAGGAAGGAACCCAGGAAGGAGGGTGCAGTGTGGCCTAAGCCGGTGCCTATGGGACAGAGTTCGGTGGGGTGAGGTGAGGGGAAGGCAAGGATAGGCTGTGAGGGTCATGGGAATGTTGGGATTTTAGTCCCTGTATCAGTTAGCTTGGGCTAACAAATACCATAGACGGGGCGGCTTCAGCAATGGACATTTATTCTCTCCAAGTTCAGGAGGCTGAAGTCTGATGGAGGAGGTACTTGAGTTAGATCTGGAGGCCTCTCGCCTTGGCTCACAGATGGCTGTCTTCTCCCTGTGTCTCCGCAGGGCCTTCCCTCAGTGTCCTAGTCCCTTCTGCCTAGGATGACGCCCGTCGTTTGGATGAGGGCCATCCTAGGAACCGCATTCTAACTTAATCACTGCCTTGCGTCCCGGTCTCCGCCGACAGTTACATTCCAAGGTCCTGGGGGTGAGGATTTCACTGGGCAGTTTTAGGGGGACACAGTGAGCTCATAACATTCTCAGAGGATTGGGAAACCGAGGTAGAGTGTTGAGAAAGGAATGGGACGACTGGATCTACGTTTTTAAAGAACACGCTGGCTTCCGTAAAAGGACAGGATGGGGAAGAGTAGGGACAGGAGCTGAAGTCAGCCGGACTGTCACGAGCATCAGACCAGCAGCGCTGGTGGCTGGACCAGGGCGCACGCAGACAGACTTGAGCAACCTCTGCCAGGCACCCTCTCACGCAGGGAGATGAAACTCCCAGTCTCAGCTGAGGGAAGGACAACAAAGCGTCTATGTGGATCCCAGGAATCCAAAAAGGGAAGGGAGCTGGAGGGCCCGGATGTCTTCCGCCATGTTGTAGGGGAAGGACGATCTTGGCTGAGAGTCCCATCAATAACCCTCCATTGACCCAAAGAAAGCAGTTTATTTTTTGACCAACACCCTAACAGCAAGAATGAAATGAGGACTTGTGGTGAGAGTCCACAAGCCTGGCCACGGTCACTTTTCTTAGAGTTTCAGGCTGAAGATTTTGGGAGTCCACTCGGGGTCTGATGCTCCTGCACCCTGGCACTCCTCACTGGCCGCGTGGCCACATTCCTGGCCTCCCTCCTGACACCAGCACAATCAGGAGGAGCCACCTTGCTCTCCCCCCAGCCTTTGGTGGATCCTACAATTCTGCATTCTGTGAGCTGGGGACAGCACACCTGAACCTGTGGCCATGCAGGAGGGGTGGGATGAAGATCTGGGTTCCCTCCCACCTTGTAAATCCATTCTCCCAGCCTTCTCCAGATGCTCCCTTCAGGAGGGTCTCTGTGTCCTGGTCCTGGGACACATGATGCATGAGACCTAGCCCGGCCCTCCAAGAACCTGCAGGCAGAGGCAGAGCTCCAGCCACCCTCAGGACAATGCTCCCATATAATCCACCACAGAACAGTCACGAGAAGCAGGGCTCAAAGAAGGTTCTATGGCAGCTGAGACAAGCAGGTAGGGTCAGTGAACCCCTGGCCAGCCCTCCTCAGCCCCTGTCCACATTCCCCGGAAGGTACAGTCATCACACACTGTCCAGCTTCACCTGAGACCCTGGCTTCAGTGAGATAGGAGGCAGGGAGACCCAGTGAGGCCCCTTAGAGGTTGAACTGTGTTCCCCAGAAGATACATGAGACCTCTGATTGGGATTTTATTTGCATATAGCATCACTGCCAATGGGATTAGTTAAGATGAGGTGCTCCTGTAGGAGGGTAGGCCCTTAATCCAACTGAGGTCCTTAGGAGAATCTTAGACACACAGGGAGAAGGCCGCTGTGAGATAGCAGAGTCAGGGACTGGGGTGATTTATCTGTAAGCCACGAAACGCCAAGGATTGAAAAAAAAACACCCCAAACTCAAAGAGACAAGGATCAAGTCTCCCTATGGGTTTCAGAGGGAGCCCTGCTTGCAGACACCTTGATCTCAGGCCTACGGCATCCAGAACTGTAAGAGAATGAATTTCTGTTGCTTCGGCCACCCAGTTTGTGGCATCTTGTTGTGACAACCCTAAGAAAGTAATACAAGGCCTCAGACCTCAAGTTCCTATCCCTGGAAAAGACCCCCATTCCTACAGTGCATATGCACACACACACACACACACACACACACACACACACACGGCCCAGAGGCAGCCAAGGCCAACCCATAATCACACTATAAATTCCTAGAGGTACTTTCCAGACAGCCTTCCTCAGAACTCAGCGTCAACTGGCTTTGGGTCTGAATGGCGTGCTTTACTGGACGGCAGGGAAACTGCACGTCTTCCCAGATCCTCGGTGACTCAGGCTGGATCTGAATTCCAGCCACTCTGGGAAGGGCAGGCCTGCTTTCCTTCCCTGCCATTGAGCTCTTTTCTTGTCAGTTCCAGGGAGCAAGGCTCCCCGGGGCCTGGAGAAGGTGAGTGTGTGGGTACCTGGCACACGTTGTAGTGCTCAAAGAGGGACAAGAAGCCAATATCGCTACGTGCTGTAATGCCCCGGAGGAGGGTGATGTTCCCGTTCCCAGAATCCAGCTCCACCACGTCGTTGAAAACATTGGACACGGCTCTCCCAGTCAGGAGCAGATTGACAAGTTCCTGTTGATGAGAAGGGGAAGCCACGTCAAGTCTCTGAATCAGCTGTGGAGGGGAGTCTAGGAAAAAGAAAAAAAAAAGGGGTGGGGGTGGGAGTGGAGAAGGAAAGCAAGCAAGGAGAGAGAGATGGAAATCAAAGGCAGGCCCTGCAGGGAAAGTTGCCATCTTTGCTCATCTAAGTGACTCCAGGCACTCATCAACTTTTATTCTCTAAGCATGCATTGAGCACCACTGTACACAGGACCCTGTTCTAGGACTCAGACCATTGGAGAGAACTTCAGGAGGATAAGACATGACTCCATTCTCAGTCCAGACTGGGGTGGGGGTCAGGTGTGTCCCCATGGGATTGAAGCATGACATAGAATGTGACTGGGGCTATTAAAAAAAATGTGCATGTAGAGCACTCCAGGGCCCAGATGGACAGGACACAAGGCCACATGACTGAGTAAAAGTGTCTTTGTAGACTGACTTTTGGGATGTTAGTTTTTAAATAGACTTTTAGATTTTGAAATAACTTTAGACTCAATAGAAGTCATAAAAAGAGTTCATAGGGTTCCTCACGCCTTTCACCCAGCTTCCCCCGACAACAGCATCTTCCAGAAGCCGAGCGAGCACATATTTAAAATCAGGAAACTGCCAGGCACAGGAGGGCAAGTCTTTAATCCCAGCAGCTCAGGAGGCTGAGGCAGGAGGATCATGAGTTCAAAGCCAGCCTCAGCAAAAGCGAGGCGCTAAGCAACTCAGTGAGACCCTGTCTCTAAATTTAAAAATATACAAAAATTAAAAAAAAATAATAAAAACCAGGAAACTCACAGTGCTGCAGGGCCACCTGCACTCCAGGCCTATTTGAATCTCACCAGGGACAGCAAGGTTTCAATGGAGGGGAGAGGGCAGGGCAAGATGTCTCAGGAGCAGGAAGAGCAGAAGCAGGGGGCAGCAGGAAGCCCATCTTCACCTTGCCTCAAGTATCATGTACTCGGTGGCCCCATCACTTATGCCTCATTCCAGCACGGCAACAAGCACATGACCTTAGGACCTGCAGCAGGCGCGCTGTTTCTCTTGCAGTCTCCTTCAGCCTGGTCCCCTGCACCAGGGTGGGCCATTGTGGCTGGAAGGGACCTTCTTTATACAACAGCCCCCTAGTCCAACCTCCTTTTAGAAATAGAGAAACCGAGGCTCACAGATGCAGAAGGACTTGCCCTGGTCACACACAGTGGGCGCCAGGGCTGAATCTCCACCCACATCTGCTGGCTCTGAACATCTGTCTGGTTTCCCTTCAATTGTCCCCACCCCTCGTTATACTCATGAAAGCCCCTGCCTGGACATGCATTCAAGATGCAGAGTGGTGGCCTCCAAGGGCCCACTGCCCCCTGGGGAAGGAGTCCCGCAAGCTGCACTTGGGCAGGCAGGTCTCAGTCTCACCCATCTCCATCAGGGCTGGCACTGCCCATGAGTCAAACGGGCAGGCAGCCCTCTCACCGCACATGGGAATGGCCACGGCCGCCCTTTCCTAAATGGCAGAGTTTATGCAAGTGTTTTCCCCTGAATTGTGAAAACAACGTCCGGGGTTAATAATTCCCCCTGTTAACACCAACACCCCTGCCCCAGTGACAGTAAAAGAGGTCTTGGTTGATGGCCTCTGAGGAGCCCTCATTGGACAGAGATACGAAGGGGCCTCATTGTGACCTAGCAGAGGAAATGAGAAAAGAATTTGGAGGAAATATCTGTTCTAAGATACTGCACCTCAGGGGCAGCAGCTACGAAGAAGGGTACAGCCTTGATCAGGCGGGTTCAAGTTTTTTCCATCTGGTTTTCAACAGGAAAAAAGGGCCCTGCTCCTTAATCAAGGGTGTGTCCAGAACCTTCCACCTAGCAGAAAGCCTTCTTGACATGGGAAGAAAGAAGTACCGGGCATTTCCCACTCCCCATTCCTTACTATTCAAAATGTGGTCTGTGAACCGGCAGCATTGCCTTTCCATGGGCACTGGGGCAGCCTATGAGAAATCCAGAGCCTCAGGCCCAAGCCCAGTGCCCTGAATCCAAGCCTGCTCTACAACAGGACCCTCGAGGGTTCGTGTGCACGTCAAAGCTTAAGCAGCTTGGGGTGGGGAAGAAGGTGTCCCAGCTCATATGGTGGGTGTACCAGAGAACAGTCCTTGAACCCAGCCCCAGACTCTGGTCTGGCATCCTCTGCCAACACCTGACGGCCACCCACCTGTGGCCAACATCACTCTCTGCCCTCTGCAAAGGGAAGTTCCCATGGAGTAGAAAAGCACTGAGAGGGAGAGTGGCCTGTCCCCTGAGACCTTCTCCCAGAAAGGAGGACAACAGCCAACCCCATCCCTCTGTGGCTGACTGGCAAACCATAGCCCCAAGCTTGCACCTGCATAGTGACCAGGCATAGTTCCAGAGCTGGGCACAAGTGAGTCAGGACCCCAGGACAACTGGGTCTTCAGCTGGATTGGAAGATCCAGCTGAATCTGTGTGAATTGAGAGTCAGAAGTCACTGTGGTCCATGTGGCCACTGTGGGAGGCCTCGCCGTGCAGAAAAAGGCACAGATAGAAACTAGGGGTGGGATTTAGCTGCCAGTCTTCCTGCTCACATGACCGGATCTGGAGCTGTTTCCTTTCCTGGTATCATGTGAGTGACTGAGAGGATCCAGGACAAGCAACTGTGCTCAGGGTCTCTCCTGCACCCCCTCAAGACCTCCTGGGGGGTCCCTTTGTAGAAATGCAGCTAGAAGGGTGGTCATGAAGACAACACCCTGTACAAACATAAAAGGTGTCATTGCTGCTGTCTCCCCATCTGGAGCCAGAGTCCTCAGCTTATGCCAGGGGCACTGCTCCCTATGGCCTGGGCTCTGGGCAGGGCAGCACTTGGATCTCCATCCCACGTCTTCTGCGTGGGTGCAAGCACACAGATTACAGCACAGCAAGTACTCCCCAAAGAGAAGCTGAGATCTCTTTCCTAGTCTCCATGACCAGGAAGCCCAGCAGAAGTAGGCACACCAAAGCATTGGGAGGGTATCACTGAGGATAAAGGAGAGAGGGACAGAGGAAGAAGAACCACCTCCAGGCTGCCCCTGGACCCCACAGTACCCCTGACCTGTGTGCAGTAGCCGTGTGCTCCAATCAGGTGGGTGGTGGGAACATCAAAGTCCTGGCGAACCCTGGAAAACACAGAAAGGAGCCTCTGTTTGACCCAAGCCTCCAGGGCAAACCTCACTGGGTGATCAGGCACCTGTAGGACCCAGGCCAAGGGTTCCAGATTGGGTGGGAACCTGCGTATCTTGTGTTCAGCATTGTCCACAGAGGTGGTCCCTGCTCCAATGAAATTTGGGCTCAAACCCAGGCCTGCTTGAGCCACAGTCACCCTGTTCCCTGGGTAATGGCTTCCATTCTGGCCTCCCTGGGCCTCTGGCCATACCAGAGGATGGCGAGAGAAGACTGATACAGCAGAAAGTCCCTGGTGCTGGGAATCCAACGTCCTGCCTTCACATCCCAACTACTGCCATTAACAGTAGGGGTGGGGGCTACCTCTCCCATCTCTGAGCCCCAGTCGCCCATCTGTGAAGGGGAAGGAACTGACTCGAATGCTCTGTGATGATTTGGTTATGGCTTGAGTGTGTCCCCTGTGGGTTCCTGTGTTGACATTTAATTTCCCTTTTATATTAAGAGGGTGGAGACTTAATTCAGCTATGGTTTAGAGGCGGGGCTTCTGGGAGGAGATGAGGATTAGGTAAGGTCATGGGGTGGAGCCACCACAATTGAATCTTGGAGATTGTAGGAGGAGGGAGACCTGAAGAGACAGGCACACATTCCCTGTCTCTTGCTACGTGATGCCCTGCACCTCCTCAAGACTCTGCCAGCAAGGAGGCTGACATCAGATGTGGACCCCAACCTTGGACCTTCAGAACCATCGCTCAAAATAAACTTCTTCTCATTAAAACTTCCACAGTCCGCGGGATGGCATTCCTGGCGATAGAAAATAGACCAATATAGCCTTCTCAGATTCCAAAACAACGGTGCTACAGCTCCGGTACCGAGTGCCACGCAGGCATCCTTCTGCAAGACCCAGGGAGATAATGGGGGTTTCAAGAAGAGGCTGGCGCACGCCTGAAACCCCAGCAGCTCAGGACGCTGAGGCAGGAGGATTGCAAGTTTGAGGCTAGCCTCAGCAACTTAGTGAGTCCCTAAGCAACTCAATGACCCTGTCTCAAAATAAAATATAAAAAAGGGCTGGGGATGTGGCTCAGAGGTTAAGGGCCCCTGAGTTCAATCCCCAGTACCACAAAAAAGGAAGAAAGAAAAAATAAAAAGGTTTCCCCAGAGCTGGTGGGCCCAGGGCCTCCAGGCAGTCTCTTTTCAAAGCCTAGAGCCCCTCCATGCTACCCCTGTGGCTCCTTCTTCAAAAGGGGGTTCTCCAAAAGGCATAGACTGAAAAGCCCCTTTGGCAGAGTAAGTTCCTCAAACCACAAGAAACGAATTTTAGGGCTGAGCAGCAGTGAGTACAGAACAATTCAGGATATGTCCCATCGTTGGGACCCTGCCCCTATGAGGGGTGAGGTGATGAACACTAGGAGGCAAAAAGCCCTCCCTGAACTTCAGTGTCCTCCTCAGCTTGTCACCATGCTGGGAAGCCCACTGTGGCACGTGGTTCCTAAAAGGAGCAGCAAAGACCTCAAAGTAAATAGCTCCGGGAAACAAAGCAGTCTTGTGATCGGAGCCATGTAACCAGCAGAGAGTAAAGGAGCTACCATCTCCTTACTGCACCCAGCAGATGCACCTTCCACCCTCTAGGACCCCTGGGAATTGGGAATTACTGTATCCTGGCCCTGGCCCGCTTCCTTTATCCACACCCCAGAGAGAGCACTGCGCGGTGACCAGGGGTTGGAAGGGTTTAGCAATCAGACCGCTCATTTTTCTTTTTGATGGAAGAGAAGGGAAACCTGGTCTCAATTTATGCCCTAGATCCAAGGTCTGCCGTAAGCTCACAAACCTAAAACACACGCCCTGGCCCTGTATCCTTTCCCGACAAACTTCAGAAATTCAACCTCCGCAATACTTGCAGAGATAATGCTTTCTTGTGGTTTTTAGTAACTGTGCCAAACGGGGAAGGTTTATGGTCCACATGAGATGTCCTGGGAGCACCGTCATAGGGGACTGCAGACCGCAAAAGCGTGGGGTCCTCTGGGAAGGCCCTCACGGCTGACCCACCAGAGAGACCCCAGCAGGCCTGGGAGGGAGCCAGCCGGGGTGACTCATGGAGCACCAAACTCAGCTGGCGCTAGATCAGGCAGAAGAATTGATGGAAACGTTCTCCTCAGCGTATACAAGCATCTTCTGATGAGAAGAAAATAACCTCAAAGGAGTCCTGGGTGGACCGATAAGCATCGCTGGCCTCAGGCCACCCGCAGTTTTCAGAAGCGGGTCCGATCTTCATAAGCTCACAGCCGCGTGTTCACCCAGCGGGCTTGAGAGCCTGCGTCAGCTGGGAGCAGAGGGACAAGCAGAAAGGACAATGGGAGGAAATGGCAATTGCATCCTTAGGTGCAAACACGATGGGAAATTCAGACGTGTGCTTGCATCTTAAAAGAGGGGAACATCTGTATTTCACATCAGGGCACTCAAGAGACGCCAAGGAGTGGCTCGTGGCTTCGGAGATTTACAACTTTGGCACATGTGGATGCTCAGGCCTCCCCCAGGGGAGCTGCTGCAGTACTAAGCGCGAAGAGTCCTTGGGCAGTCAGCTTGCAGGCAGGATCTGCACCAGACCCTAGTTCCGGCCCTGGCCTGCTGCAAGGCCACAAACCCCTTGTCCCTGGGCCTCAGTCTCTCTTTCTGGAACATCAGAGTCTTGGACAAGATGAGAGGTGTACTGGCATGAACTGTCTAATTTGTTGAAGTCTTAGTCCCTGTCCCCCCACCCCACCCCAGCATACCTAAGCTTATGCATCTGGAGATAAAGACTTTAAAGGGGTGAGTGAGTTAAAATGAGGCTCTTAAGGTGGGTCCTAATCCAATAGGACTGGTGTCCTTATAAGACAAGGTGTCCAAGAAAATTTGCACACACAAAGAGATCCCCCTGGGATGTGCACACATAGAGGAAAGGCCACGTGAGACACAGAAGTCGCCATTGGCAATCCTAGAAGGGGAGCCTCAGGAGGAACTGAGCCTGTTGGCACTTTGATCTTGGCCTTCAGGCTGTGGAGGTGTAAGAAATCAATTTCTGTGCTTAAGCCACCCAGATGGTGGCACTTTGTGACGGCAGGCCTAGGACTCCTGTACAAGTGGCTCCAGTGTCATTTTAGACTCAGAGCCCTTGCTTTAAATGGAATCTTATATGCAGAAGCCTGTTTCATGAAGGGTGGTGTTACTTAGCTGAAGGCAGTACTGGGCCTTGCCCATCACTTTCTCCCTCCACCAGCCCCTGTGGCTTCTCAGGGGAACCCCTGGGTCCCACGCATCCTGGGAGCAGAAGCTGAAACCATGGAAGGGGCCCCCAAGTTCTGGGCTCCTACCCTTCTGGGCTTCTGAGCCACAAACCATGGCAGTCTCTTCCCTAGGACTGACTTACCACCCAGTCTAGTGGGCAAGGGGTCCTTTTCACAGTTCCCCTGGGGGCCAGTCCTGGGGACTCTTGAACAGCCTGAGCAGGCAGGCACAAAGCTGAAGGACAGAAGCCAGGCAGGCCCAGGAGCCCTGAGGCCCCGCCCAAGTTCCACTGCCCGTGGCTCCCGTTGGCCTGTCCCTTCACCTAAAAGCCTCCCCGTGTGAACGTGGCATTTGGCACACAAGTTTCTGAATAAGAAGGAAAATATGCCCAAGTGGCCTAGAGGCATGGCGCCAGTGTCTAGCCACTCACCTAAAACAAATGTCCGCAAGGCGTGTCAGTGGGCAGCTCGGCCTTGGCCTGACTGAGTGACTGCAGGCAAGTCCTCACCCCTTTTTCAGCCTGAGTCCTCATTTAGATGAAGCAGAGGCCTAGAGCAAAGGATCCCCTGGGACCCCCTGGGATGCAAACAAGTGAGTCTGGTTCCTGACTTTGATCTTAAGACATCCAGCTTCTCATAGGCAGTAATTAGCCAGAAGACCCAACCAGCAGTCCTGCCTCCACCTGTCCACTGAGACATCAAGCCCTGAGCAATTACGTCCCACTGCGTCAGCTAACCTGGCTTCCCAGAGGCTATACCCCAACAGCACTTCCCTACCCAGCTGCAGAGGTGGAGCGTCTGCCTTATGAAAGGGCAACTGAGGCAGACCAAGAGAACCTGGTTCTAAAGGCAGGGAGCCCTGGGCTCAGACCCGAGTGCTGCCACTTACAGGTTGTTCCCTTCTCAGAGCCTTGGTGTCCCCTACCTGCCTGATGGGTATGAGGACGCCTCCTGCTATTAGAGATCACTGTGAGAACTGGATGGGATGAACTATATAAAGCATCTGGCATTTGGTAAATGTTACTTCCTTTTTCCTACGATAACAACATTAAAACAAGAAAACAATGACCAAGAGGTCATGATTCCTGCAACCTTAACTCTTCGTATCACAGCCAAGAACCCAGAATACATCGAGACCTCCAAGAGGTTGAAAGGTAGCTGCGAATATCTGAAAAAGGGTCTGGAGAGAGTGGATATTGACTGCTTTCCCAGGAAGGCAGAGAGGGAAGGGACAATGAGTCAGAAGACCTGGGTGTCTGGCCCCTCTGCCACCTGTGCCGCATGCCCTTGGCAAATGGCTTTCTATCTCTGAGCCCTGGGGTGTGTCTTTCCCTGACGAAGATAACCATAGCCACTCCTGAGGCTTGCTGGAAGAGATCCTGAGAAGGCTTTGCAAAGGGCAGACAGCTCCAGGGCTGGAGAGCTCCATGTCCATCCCCCTGTGCAGGCAGTGAGAACTTGGTGGGAGACTGTGCCTGGAGGAAGGAAGAGAGGAGGAGCCCAGATTCCACAGCCACTGGCCAAAGCCCTTCCCAAGCTGTCTTCCCCTCAGCACCTGCCATCTCCCCCAACTCTGGGGCCGCCCCTCCCAACCCCACACAATCAATCTCTGCAAACCCTCACCAGTGGCTTGTGCCCACTCTGTCCTTGCTACCTGCCAAGACCCTTGCTGCCCACCCTCAGAGTCCTGCCTAGTGCCTCCTCTTCCATTGAGAGGAGGGACAGAAATGCCCATC